TCATACATACAAATGCATCAACAGTCAGTCATGGCTGCAGTTTAATTATAGTTAACAAAGCATGCTTGTCTGTCCAGTCACGCCAAATAGTGATTAATGATGGATAACTATGCCAAATCTGCTGTCTGTATTGCTGTCCATGAATAATATTAGTTTATCTAATTATCAGTTACAATAAAATGTGTTTTCACCGAGTGTTTTTTGAGGTTACCTGCAATATTTTGATTTGATCACTGAATCCACTTGGACATTAAAGTCACGGCTACAGATGATGTTCAAATATCACTGTAGAAGTGGCCAGAAAATCTCAATATTGAGGTGAATTTAGAGCTGAGAGATTATGCGTGCCATGTAATCCAAAAAGTTTAACTCATTCCTATCAACTACCTTCAAAATACAAAGATAGCAATGTATGTTCTGTACAGTGCTAGGTTTATTAAGTCTTCAGTTTACGAAAAAATTACAATTTGTAAAAACAGTATAATTATACAGTGGTAGCTAAATTTGTATATATATGTGTCTATGAAGGGAATGCACTTAGGATCTGTTAGGAATTAAACTAAATATCATTGGTGCTAAGTGAGCGCTGGACGCTGTTCATTTACAAAAAAGAAAAAGGAGCCTCTGTCCAGTACGAATACATATACACTGAATAAATATTTTGAAAAAAGATCAGTACATTGTGGAAGAAAAACAGCAATTTAGTGGTACAGAATCTGTGCAAGCCTTTCGAGGAATATAAGAACGTCATTTTAAGTAAATCTTCTTCATCAAATGGGAATGTGGCCCTCTGTGAGTCCTAAAGTGAGCAGGCAAGTGTCTTCTCAGAAATCTTCTTTAACACAAGTGTAGAAAAGCACTTAGTGAGGACTAACTGCTTCAAGGTTTCCTTAAATCTATAAGCTGTCTAAGGACAGCTGCAGAACAAAAACAATGTCAATACTGTTTCAGTTATTATGAGCAAATCCATTTCTCCGGACCCTCAGGCCGTGTGTAATTGTTGTTTTGTTGGCACAAATTGCTTTCCCATTAAAGAGGACCATTAAGCCTGGAAGCATCTGAGCAGTGTATAAATCTCTGGTGTATAAAGGCCACAGTGTGAACCGGTAGTTCATCTCTTCCTGTTCCTGTTGTGCTTCACCATCTTCTTCCTCTTCAGGATCATCTCATAGAGTTTCTCCAAGCCCAGCTGGAGCCCCTGACCGTCCACAGCGCTGCAGCTCTGCACGTGATACAGCGTGTACATGCTCAGTTCATGAACAGAGAGCAGCTTCTCCACCTCGCTCACAGACAAGGCCGAGTCCAGGTCCTGTTTGTTGGCGAGAATTAGCACCGGGACTCCCTGATTCTCTGACGTGCGGGTGATCTTATGGAGCTCCACTTTGGCCTCCTCCATTCGCTCCACCTCGGTGGAGTCCACCACAAACACCATCCCGTCTGTCCTGCGAGTGTAGGACTTCCAGAGCGGACGCAGCTTGTCCTGCCCACCCACATCCCAAATCTGGAAGTTTATTCCACGAGATGCCCCAACTGCCACTTTGATCTTCTCTGTGTTGAAGCCCTTGGTTGGGATTGTTTTGACAAACTCCTTGAGTTTGAGCCTGTAGAGCAGAGAGGTTTTTCCGGCCGAATCGAGGCCAATGACGACCACGTGTAGGCACTGGAAGCTTGGCAGGAACGGCGTGCTGGGAGCGATATCAGTCAGCTGGTTCCCCATGACTCCAGCCAGCAATTCACACCTACTTAGGTGAGGTGAAAGATTCCTGTTTTAATCCGTTCTCAGTGGATTGGCATTTGGTCCCTGTCCAAGATCAGATGGTGCTTGAGGCCTTATCAAAACACACACACACAGGCTGGGTTAACATTTAATTAAAAGACAATGGGTGTTTAAGGAATGTTTGCAAACCAAGCTGCACTTAAAATGTTTCGCTACTACCGAGATGCTTACTTTACAATAGCAGAGTGTGTGTCTTCGAAATTTTAGATTTCAAACTATAAATGTGCCACATTACAGAGCTAAACATCAGTTAACTGGTGTCTGAGGTAATGTAGTTTCTTATTTGCTAAGGGTTAATCCTCTTAAGATTGTTAAACCTGAAGGGCTTTTCCTGGGCCAGATTGATTTGAATGCAGCCGATGGATAACATGTATTCAGGGGGTCTCTCTGCTGACTGCCTATAAGGACTGCTTCAGCTGCACTAATCCGGTTGTTGTTGACATCCTGATACCCATCAAACAGCTGCTGTTTGGACTAAATAAAACCATTACATGTTTACAAGGGCAGGTTTTATCTTGTTTTTTTGTTTTTATTTTTTACTTTGACCTCCCCCCCCCCCCCCCCCAAAAAAAAAAATAATAATACAGTGTGCAAAGACTTTCTGTACTCAGCTTGCACAAGCATTGCCCTGTCATGTTTATTGACAGATGTTTTTATAACCTCGTTGTATGACTGTGTGTATATATGTGTGTCTGTGTGTGTGTATGAGGAATAATCCACCTTTTTCTCCAGTTTTCTCCCTCTCCTGCATGAAATCTCACTATCTACCTCATGTGACGACGTGTTTATCCTGATCGATATACCGCAAATAAATTTAAGAACTTCAACATCGTCTACCTATTGAGCTTGTAGGAATCCTGATATATTGGATTGATTGGATAGGATAGGAAAATAAAACATGCATGCAGTTTGCAGAGCCTGCACGAATCCCAGCATTGAAAACCGAGCCTGACCTCTCCTCTGCATATTTAAAAACCTTCCTACCTTTTTAGATGTTCGGTGAAATCATCATCCACAAGCGATAAACACGGCCATAGTTCACAACAAGCGATCTTCGTGTTCTCCTCCAGCAGCACTGAGAAGCTCCGGAGAGACTCGAGCGCACGGCACCTTAAGCCCGGTGACGTCACGGCCACCTGGAGGGTTGCTGCTCCGCGCCCCCTGCTGGTGCAGCAGTGAATTGCGTGCATTCGGGGTGTCATGACCAGCAAACACTGATGCATAATAACGTGCATATAAAAATTATTACAGTAAAACACCCCCCAGTGTTACTCTTTCTTCAAGTGTGAGCAAGTGAAAATGCATTCATAAAACATCTACACAAGAAGAACAAGTGTAATTTCAAATACACGAGTGAGTTTGACCACGTTCCTTTAGTCTTAAGAGGTTGTGAACATAGAGTGAATAAAATTCAATTCCTGGGTGTTATAACAGATGACAAAGTTTGCTGTAAATCTCACATTAAACATAACCAAAACATTTGAAATGGTCATTTGTGTGTCTGCAAAAAGTCTTGCATATGCTTTTCAGAATTTGTGGGCATGCATTTTACATGTATTATATGTTTTTTAATCTACCTGCCTCTTGTTAATGGGTCTCATTTGACAAAAAGAGGTCAGTGGAACAACCTGGTTAAATTAATGATTTCAAACAACTTGCTAGTTAACTAGCTCGAGAAATATCTTCACATGTATTGGTCTGATCCCCACCCCAGTAACAGCAGTACTGTTACAAAATACAATTGAGTATTTATTGGTTTTACTGGAATTTTCACACTTGCAGTGGTTCAGGTTAGACCATTAACTTACAGAGACTCCAGAGTGCCATAATATTTGCATGTCATACTACTGCGTGAAGTGTGTGCCCATAGAGTATCACTGTGCAATGATACTTTGGGTCCACCTTGTGTAGAGTCAATGACAGAGCAGGAGAAAAATATTGGTGACTTACTGTAGGTAGGGCGGACACTGGGTTTGGAAAGTGAAAAAAACATATATTTTTATTGTACATATTTAGACAATTTATACTTTTTAATTAACTCTAGTTAAAAACATGACAAAAAGCATACTCACTAAAACCAAAAGGATTCGGAGAACAGCAGATGAAATAACAATGATGGGTAAATAACTAAGTACGCCCTGTGATACAGTAGCTTGGACACATGACCCCGCATTTGACTCTAGAATATGTTGGTATACAGAGAAGTTCATGGTGGACTCACTGATGGTGCTCAGGTCCAATGGCTCCAAAACAAACCCAAGACATAACCCCTCCACCACCGTGTTGACAGTGGGTATGAGATCTTTGTGCCGATGTGCTGTGTTTGGTTTTGGTTCAACTCTGCACTCTGAATTGTAACCAAACATCTCCACTTCGGTCTCGTCTGTAAAAAGCACAATGTTCCTGAAGTCTTGTGGTTTTCTTCAAATGTAACTTTGCAAACCTAAGCTGTGCTGCAGTGTTGTTTTTTAAATCGATTTCTTCTAGAAACCCTTCCAGACCGGTCATACTTAATAAGTATGTCTCTAATTTTACTATCATACTTTTAACATGTTAACTGAGCCCTGCTGAGTCTGGGATGTAGCTCTTGGCACTTTTGCAGTTTCTCTGAATGCTGCGCGGTCTGAGCTTGGGATTAATTTCCTGGGATGTCCAGTCCTAGAAATATTGTCAGTTGTCCACAGTGTTTTCCACTTATGAATAATCTTTCTCACTATAGAATGATGGACTGACCTTATAATTCTCTCCAGGTTTGTAGGCAGCAACAATTGTCTTTCCTTAGTGCCATTGTGATAACACACACCTGATTGCTTCAGACCAGAAAACAGCCAAAACGTCTTCTTTTATAAAGCTGGTCACACTTGCTGATGATCAGTTAATCAAATGCATTTGATTAGCAGCACCCAGCTGCTACTGCTTCCCTCTCAGTTCCTATCAAAGCAGTAAAGGTTTCACAGGACTGCACAGAGCCATGTGACTGTCACATGACTGTCCAAGGACTATCACACAAGACCTTAAAACGAGATTGTAACTTTGGTTTATGCTTCTAAGTTTAGAAATTAAACATTATACCTGCATATTTTTCTGTATTAAAATTTTTAAGTTAGCGATGCACTATAGTGTGACAATGGAAAGCTGACCTCAAGACAACCTGCTCACACCCTAGTGTTTAAAATATCATGAAGAAGCAATGAATGAGGGAAAAATGAAAACATATAATATGTAACATTAACCTTTACAGTTTAATAAAGTGCAAATGACCAACAATAAGGAGATCTATGGTCAACACAGTAGTACACACGTGGTCGCGTGCACACACACAAATTTAAAGACAATTTAAAATTGGTATGACTTCAAAATCATTTTTACATTTCACAAATTGTGCATTTTACACATATGCATGTTTGAAGCGTCAATATTTTTACATTATAACACTGTAGTGATTAATTTAAAGTCTTATTATGTGTTAAAACAACAGAGAGCAGTTATCGTGTATAAACTGCAGATTCAGTACACTGAAGTCATATTCTCACAGGATGTGGAATTGTTGAATTGGTGCCACAGTCAATATACTCAAAGGTCTCCACGGACAGCTGCTCCGTGTGCGAGAGATACGAAATATTCATTGTCATTCTGAAAAAAGAAAAAAACATCTTTGTTACATTTTCATATTTCACGTCTGTGCTAATTTTTTTTGACTTCGTTATAATTCTGGGTTTATTGATGGGCGTTCCCTTCAACTCTAGGAGCATTTTAGTGTCTTTTAGCTGTTACATCCAAAATGATTCTCTCATTGGCTTTGTTTTCAGCCACATCAGCCAAAAGAGCTGCAATAAACCCGCTGTGCTCTGCGTAGCCAGCAATAAACAGCTGACAGACAAAGCTAGCAACCAGCTCGTGAGTCTTTCCAAACAAATCAAACAGATCTAAGATGAAATAAAACCCCACATGACCATCCTAAGAATCAGCTGATTCTTTTTCTAGGGCACAAACTTTGGTATTTTGCATGCCTTCATTAAAATACCAAAATCCAGAGTGTCAAAATAGGACTATATAAGAAATTATTTTTGCACAGAAGGATCCAAAATGTACATAAAAGGAAGAGTTTTCATTTTCTGCAGCTTGTTTTGAACAGCCACCTATCCCACACAGTGACATGATACTTTGCATTCACTTTTCAAAGGTGTCTGCAGTGAATTATCAGAAAACGTCACCCAGATTACCAATGCTTTTTGTCTGTTTCTGTACATCACAGACATTAAGTTGGTGCATTTTTGCTGTTGAAACTGCGATATATCGCACGTTACTGATGCTCAAATGCTGAGCAAAAATGTGATTCCTGTGGATAGCTCTCGTTCTTATGAAGTGGTGAGGACTGAAAAATGCTCGAAAATACACTCATCAGCCACTTTTTTCAGTACAAATGTTCAACTGCTCTTTGACCCAATATCACAGCAGCATTTAAGCATGTGAACATGGTTAAGATGACCTGCTGAAGTACACACTGAGCATCAGAATATAGAAGAAAGCTGCTTTAAGATGCTCCCTTATTCACAAGGCTTCTCACAGCAGGTAGCTCCATATGTTTTAAGTTGGCAGATTTCTTTTTCATGCCAAATCTCCCCAAAGGAATTTCTGTCTCTTCCCAGGATTAAACGGAGGATCTGTTACTCGGGTGAATTTGTAAACCACTACACTACGGAGCCACCAACATCTGAACAAATTGCTTTGAATGTTGGAGCCAGATGTTACTAGGATTTTTTTTTTTTTAATGAACATCTGTAAGGTGTACAGAGAATGGTTGAAAAATGAGAAAATATCAAGTGTGCAGCAGTTCTATAGATGAAAATGCCTTTTTACTGCCACACGCCAGAGACAAATGGTCAGACTGGAAGAGAGCTGTAATTCAAAATCATTCGTTAAAATCAACCAAGGTGTGCATGAAGCACCTCTGACTGTGCAACAGACCACATATTGAAGCAGATGGGATACCACAGCAGCCCAAAAGGTGTGCTACCGAGCTACCCTGCTACCCAGTGTGGCACAATCCACACTGGAGTTTAACTGAGAACGGGAAACTGAGGCTACCATTCCCACCAAAATTGGACCACAGAGGACAAACATTGCCTGGTCTGATGAGTTTCGGTTCCTGCTGTTACATTCACGTGGTAGAGTCACAATTTGGTGTAAACAACATGAAAGGATGAACGCATGGATCCATCCTGACTTATATCAACACAGTGGTGTAGAGGATAGTTTCTTGTTATACTTTGGGCCCCTTGGTAACAATCAAGCACCATTTAAATGCCTACATGAATATTGTTGATGACCATAACCATGACTGTGACGAATGCTGTTTGGTTTCCTTTTTTTAAGCAACTTAAAAACAACATGTACATGTAGTCAGTACAATCTATTTGAACTTTATTCTTTCCATCTATTTATGAAACTCAGGGTAGTACGCGAGGGGGCTGGAGCCCACCCCAGAATATCATAAGGTACACATCTGGACAATTCACCATTTTCTCACACAGCTAACAGACAAGCGCACAACCATTCACACCCACCGCCAGTTTCAAATCATAAATTAATCTAAACCCACGAATCTACCTACACAGAAAGGTCCTGGTTAGCCGGTAGATTCAAACATAGGACATTCTTGCCACCACACCACTGTGCTACCTGTCTCTTAATTAGTCCAGTTAGCATCAAAGTTCTGAGCCACTGAAATCACTGAATGAGCACATTTCTCTCGAACGCATTTAAGGTAAAAAAGCAGCTCCTCAATAGCAGCACTGTGACTGTCCTGTGGTTTAATTCCAAGTTCACTGAATTTCAAAGGAAAAACTGGACTTCCAGGAAGACCTTTCATGTCCTTCAGATTAAAAGATTCGACTTTGGCTTTGTGAAGAAAAATAATTTTGTGGTTGTGGTTTTTGTGCACAGCGGAAAAGTGAAGCTTTTAACATTGTGGGTTTAAAAAACTCAAAAGTGTCTCTGCCTCTTCCGCTGACAGAGGTTGACACTTACTGAAGCTCCAGAAATAAGGTGTGAATCTTGATGCTGCTTGACTTGCAGTAAGAGCTGAAAGACATGAACAAGTTGTGCTGAAGTCAGACATTTAAACAACAACAATGGACTCTAATAGTTTTTATCTTGAGATGTTTTTTGATGTTATGTGCTGAGAACAAAGATTTCTTTCTTACGCTATGCCTTCATCTTTAATATCCAGGCCAACTGAAATTACATTCTGTAAATTATATCAGAGGACACAGAGATAAGATGTTAAACACATGATAAATGCTGGATATCAACAGGACCTGTTATCCAGTCTGAAGCTTACAGATTTCAGTGATCTGGGCTCGATTGCGGTCATATTAGTGATCTTGTTCTTTCCCATGACTGTTTGACCAACCACAGCCTGAATGCTGAAGTCGACAATCTGAACTGAATAGTAGTTAGTGTTGGTGATGTTGATGAGATTCTGCAAAAGGAAAAAAATCCACAAGTCAAGTGCAACCGACACACCTGTGCATTATTAAAAAGTGTCTGGGAATTTTAAGTGCCCCACCATCTAAGTGGGGCAGTGACCTACTGTACCATCTGTCATGTGAATGCAACGCAAGTGCTTCTTTGTGGATAGTGTTTTGATAGAGGCAATAAAAAATGTGGTTGTAAAAATATGGCTTAACTCGTTTACAACTATGTATGAGGGACCTCCACTTGTTAACACACACTAGTTATGTTATGCTGCTTGTTTCCAACTAATTCTACATATTTTTATATAGAATCGGTCACCAAGAATTCAGAAATATTAATCCCAACTTCAAAACTGTCAGTCCCATTTTCTAATGTCCATTTTCAGAGATTAAAAAAAAAGCATGCTTAGAGCCAATCAGGGTTTAGCATAGCTCCTGTAGCCATAGTCTAATGCAACCGATGGTGCAACAGCTATAATGGGAAGCAACGTCTGCAGGACATACATGAGTCATCAGTTAGAACTTGACGTTCATGTTATTTTAAAACATGTTACAAAGGTGAGTCATTTTCAGATATTTATTGACTCTCAAAATCCAGTTGCCTAATGTTTATCATGGCAGAAGGTTCAGAGGTCACCTCCTTCCTTTGTCCACAGATTTGCAGAGATGTGGGTAAAAGAGGGCAGAGACACTGCATGACAAATCCACAGTAATAGGAGGAAGTCTGTCATCAAAGCAGACAAGCATATATATACTGTAGTTTACTAGTTACACTTAATTAAGCTGGGCAGATATTCACAAACCCCAACTTACATTTTTTATTCAGTTCATTGAGGTTTGAAGGCATTTGTTTATGCTCAGCTCTCTTAAGCTCCTCCCACAACATTTCAGTCAGGTTGAGGACTTTGACTAGGCCACTGCGACACCTAAATGTTTTCTTTTTCATCTATTCTGCTGTAGATCTGCTGGTGTGTTTGGGATCATTGTCTTGTTGTGCGACTGAATTTGGCCCAAGTTGTGCATCTAGCAAAAGGACATTGTTCTAGGAGTCTTAAATCTTAACTCAAGACATGTTGCCATGTTCTGGTCACAGAGAATAGGTTTTCTCCTGGGAACAACTCATATTTTTCTAATTTACTGTCATGAACTTTAATATTTAACATGCTAACTGCAGTCTATAGAGTCTGAGATTTAGCTCTTGGATTTTTTTGGCAATTCCTGTTAGCATTGCATAGTCAAATGTGATGAATTTGCTGGGAAATAAACTTCTGGAATGATTGTAGATTGTAGCACTGCTCCAGGGCTGCAAACTGCCAAAACTGCACAGTGTCCTGTGAAAACATTGTTTTTTCACATGCCCATATTTAAAATTTAACTAAACTGATTTTGTGGTATCTCAAAAACAGTGATCAAGCCAGTCATCATTTGAATTATCGGACTATCTCTGATTAGCCTCACAACTGGGATGCTAATGCCCACCTAGAAACATTAAGTGCTGCCCAGATGTTTGGCTGCATACAGTGTTTTTTGGTTACTGTAACACCAAAACTACTGTTGAGCAGAGTGATTTTCAAATTACTTACTGTGACGTCCATTTTAACTTCATCTGGGATGAAGTATACTGTGACTGATTGTACAGACACTGGGGTGAGGGTGACACTCCGTGGGAAGAGGAAAAAGAGGATCAGACAGCAAATAAGGAGACACAGGCCCATGGAGATGCAGACATGCAGCTTCCTGAAACAGGGATATGCAAAATTACATTTTAAATAGAGCAACAGTGCAAACCATAAACACAAAAATATTTCTAACTCGCTTGTTCAAAACTGTAAAAGCACCCCTCACACACACACATTCATGTACTGCTATACTCCTTACGTGCGTCTGGGTTTCAGCCTTACATCATTACACGGTATGACGGCAACGAGCTGGTCTTCTTGTCCTGCCAGTACAAGATGGAAATAAAGGTTTTGTTCTTACCACAGAAATGATGTGAAAGTATCTTAGCTGACACCAGCACATAGCCATGTTTTTAAGACTCCTTCAGTCAACTTGCTATTAAATGTGAAATGAAAGTAATTTGGAGAAGAAGAAGTAAACACTGTGTCAGTTTTTCACGACTGGTTCCTCTAGTTTTTATCACGCATGGGAAGCATTCAGCAGACAATGATGTCAAAGCCTTAAAACTCCAGTTAAAACAGTGGAAAATTGACAATAAAGACAGATAAAAGCAGATTTTTCTTCACAAAAAAAGGCCAACCTCTGGGGATTCGGCCAGTGCCACGGCATGTGGGGCAGTTGTCCCCTGTTGTGTTTTCATCCATGCTACCATATGGAGGAAAGTGCTTCATTCCTTTCACCTTCTCCATCTTTTTTGTTACATCAGGATCTCCTTTATTTTGCTGCTGTGCCACCATAGCACTCCTGAAAGAAAACATCCAGTAAAGAGCATGTTAAAAGGGCAAAAACCACAGTTTATAACTCGCAGTAAACAGCAGTGACTGTTGCCCAGTCAGCTGTTACTCACCTCCCTCACAAACCTTGAAATGACCAATAAATGATGCTTATTACTGCAATTCATGTTAGGATGTGAGCAGAATCTACAGTGTGGGAGTGATCAGAACCTCCCTGAATTACTTTTATGTTTCCTGTCTCCGTTTTAAACAATGCTTTTTATGCTTATTTGTACTAGAGTAGCTTTTGAAGTTCAAAATCATTATACCAGGCCTTCCTGAAGACCCTCAATTCACATGACAAAACCAACTTTCAACTAACCTTTCTCTGATTGGTTGCCTCTAGTAAACAGATGGTGGTCAAGACTGACACTACACAGTCATAACATATAGATAGATAGATAGATAGATAGATAGATAGATAGATAGATAGATAGATAGATAGATAGATAGATAGATAGATAGATAGATAGATAGGAAGAAGTCAAGACATTTGAACTCAGATGACAGATGTTAAACTGGTTTGTTGTGTTTGGTTTGTGCTGTCCTGCGGAGGTACAAGTATGCAGGAAGTCTCCATAAAGCCACACTAAAACAACAGTGTGCTCTGTGTTTTAGAAACAGTTTGTACTCAGTCATAAGCTGAATATGAATTACAATTTTTGCCTTTAAATTACATATTTTAAACTTATTTCTATATGAAAATGCAAATAGCTTGTTCTATTACTCAGTATCCTGTGACTCTATAAACTTTAGATATAATCAACTAGATAAGTGAAGAAAATTATTTGAAATACAATAAAATGGTTTATTCAGTTTTCTGTGAGTGAAGATTACAAATTGTATCTGCTGTATATGAAAGACTGATCGTTACTGTGCAAGGCTTGAGTGTAAACAAGTATTTAAACACTAATTAAGAAATAAACGACTGAAAGTATTACTCCTAAACGTAATGGATGATTCTGAAGTCTAAAATTATTAAATGTATTATTAATTTAACAAAATCACAATTTTATATGCAATACAAATTAAGTTAAAAACCTCATCCTCTGCAAACTCACCTCACAGCTCACAATAAGTCCAAATATCATTCAGGATGAGCACATTAACGCTGCTAGCTCCTTTATGATTCAGCTTTTTCAGAAGCTACATTAAGACCGTGGTGCAGCTGCTTCATATACACACAATGTACTGAGTGCAACACTTCCTTGTCTTTTTATGTGTCACTCATTTCCTGATCACATGTGCTATTATCCAGCCCTACTATCATACCACAATAATTTGCATATCAGCTAACGTGAACTATCTTTAACGTTGTGTCGTGCCATGGTCGTTACTCACGACCGAATTTGTTTCCCCTGCGTCGGGAGCGCGCACTGGGCACGGAGACCGGATCCAGCTCCAAACAACTAGACGTGGAATAGTGACGTTTTACTTTTGTGAAACACATTACCGTTCAGTTTGTGGGTTACAACAGGAAATGATTTACATTTCTTGTTCTCACGTGGTTTCGGATTATCTCAAACCGAGGACGTTTTGCCCAATAAGAGGATAATCACGTGTAAACTCGATTCATATAAACTTTAATACTCAATATAACACTTCTTCAACAAGCAAACTGACGTCCTGTAAAAATGTCATTTGCCCTGATTGTTGTACATCTCCAAAAGTTGTCTGCTGGAAACAAAAATACACCTTTCTGAGTACAAACAACTCCCTATTTTCGTCTAGTAAAACACATTTCTGTAGCTAGACAGACCGCAGGAATTCATAATAAAAACATAGCCTAAATGTAATAAAATGAGCCCCAAATTATTGTGAAAGATCTAGATTCTAGTAGAGATTTAAATTTAAACAAGAAACAGGTAGGAAACAAGGCAGGTATCTCTCAAAATACAACAGAACAATGTAAAAGGAGTAAAAATGGCAATTAGAAAATTATTTATACTCTTCTCAATAATCAGTGGAAAAGTTTTATTGGTGTTCAAGCATTGAAACCAATTTTAAAACTGCTGACCAGCTTTTTGCAGGTTTCTTCTGGGATTTGGCTGGAAGGCGTCTTTGTCAACACCATAATCTCCAACTCCCTGCAGATTCTCTATCAGAGTAAGGCGGGACACTCCAAAATGTCACAAGATGACTTTAAACCTAAATACGGCAGGCGGGTGAATCATTTGGGGCTTAACAGTATGTTTGTGTTGTGTATTTACACCTTTAAGCACCCACACTAGACACACAACCTATTTATGCTATATTCTCTCCAATAAACACAGTGTTCTGACATCAGGTTCCTTATTTCATTCCACTCTGCCAGATGCCCTGCTTTGTTAGCAAACGTTTTAAACAGTCAAATCCTGTACAAGTGGCCACAACCTTTAAACACAACTCCATATTTGACAGAGACGTTACCCTTCTCCTACCATATTTGCCGTTTCATAATTGACCCACAGATTTCAGTTCAGTTTACTATAACTGTCCCGGCTGGCACAGCTTTTGGATGCAGTTGCTAGTTTCAATAGAGAAGAGGTTTTGAGTGGGCGGCATGTGAGCGTTTGATATGAAATATTAGTCTTTGAAAATGTATTAAAACAGGAAATGAGTCAGTTAGAGTGGCAGATGTGTGCGGGCCTGTGCTGGACCTCTAGCAGTATCTTCATTATATGAAAACCGACTCTATGAGATCCTAAAGAAATTGATTTTAAAAGTGAAACTACTGATTTACTGGGGTTTTCCCATATAACCATCTCTAAGGTTTACAGAAAATGCCCTGAATTCACAACATGTTGAACCTTGTAGTAAATGGCCTGCATTTGTATAGCGCTTTTCTAGTCCATAGGACCCCAAAGCGCTTTACACTACATTCAGTCATTCACCCATTCACACACACATTCACACACTGGCAATGGCAAGCTACATTGTAGCCACAGCTGCCCTGGGGCGCACTGACAGAGGCGAGGCTGCCGGACACTGGCGCCACCAGGCGTAGTGAAGGCTGCAGAAGGCTAGAGAAGGAAACACAACATGGAAGGCCACTCCTGTTGGCTAAGAACAGGAACATGAGGCTGGAAATTGGACAACAGAAGGTTAGAAAAATGTTGTCCATTCTGATGAGTTTGAATATTTGCTGTGGGATTTAGACGGAAAGCTCAGAAATGGGTATAAACAAACAGATCCATCTTATTTTATATTAACTGATGGCTGCTTCCAGCTGACTCTACCTCACCACGACACAAAGCTCAGATATTCTCAAACTGGTTTCTTAAACATGACGGTGAGGTCAATGTACTCAAATGGCCTCTGCAGTTATCATATCTTCAGTAGAGCACGCTGAGCTGTGGTGGAACAGTCATGGATGATGTGAAGGCATCAAATCTGCAGCAACTTATATGATGCTGTCATGTCAACGTCGACCAAAATCTCCAAGATATGTTTCCAGCTGAATCTATCCCACAGTGTACCTAATAAAGCGTTAGTGAGGGTACATCTAGTTTAACTGATCATCTGTTTCCCTTTGCTTACAATCTCTATGCAAAAATTGGCAGTTTACTGTGTAAATATTACAGCTGTATAAAACTTGTAGTTGCATCTGAAACACAAAGGAAGTTTACAAAAATATTTTTTAGTAATATGCATTTTAACATAGTTTTAACACTGAGTCATTAAACTGTAAAAGTCACTAAGTACTGTTACTTCTAAAGAAATCGGGGTTTATAGAGCTCCTGGTGGTTTATGGGGCGATCGTGGCTCAAGAGTTGGATGTTCGCCTTGTAATCGGAAGGTTGCTGGTTCGAGCCCCGGCTTGGACAGTCTCGGTCGTTGTGTCCTTGGGCGAGACACTTCACCCGTTGCCTACTGGTGGTGGTGTCCGGCAGCCTCGCCTCTGTCAGTGCGCCCTGGGACTAGTTCTTAGGGACTAGTAAAGCGCTATATAAATACAGGCCATTTACCATTTAGTGTCCCCAGGGAATGCAAAGCTGTATGACCTGAGTCAAACACATACTATAAGACAAGCAGTGTGTCATTAACTGGACAGGCAACAGGGATGTGCAAATAGTTTATTGGCAGATTGACAGAGCATTGTTTAATGTATATATTCTGTGACAGAATAACTTGAGATTGTAGATATAGTCAGAATTATTTTCTAGAGCATGGATTTGAAACATGGACAGTGATATTCATAAGAAAATACTGATTAAGAAAAACCCCAAACACACAAAAAGGCGAAATCATTCAAAGAGATGCACAGTAACTTAAAACCTGACAGACGCTCATCACAGTCAACATGTCAACCAACATGTGTCCTTCAGTAAACTAAGGAAAAAACAGGAAATGTAGCGAAATAAAAACATACTTGGTTCTGTTTCCGTTATGAGCTTGAGGAATGTGTCGTTAGAGACGTTTCTGCTTGAGTTAGTGTTTAAAGACATTTTTTAAGTTAGTGTTGGTGTTTAAATGAGAACGAGCAGAGATGCAGGCAGGCAGGGATGACGACAGATGACGCAAAGCGGACGTTTTCCATTCTAACTGTGCTAAAAATCACGAAAAACACGACTCGTCTCTAAAAGCCTCTACCTGTCATGCAGGTGTCTCCTAAACAGCAGTATAAAAAACAAAACAGAAACATCTGCATCTGAGCAGTGATCCGTTCGGACAGTTTTGTGTACATTCCACATGTCAACGTCTAAAATAACAGTACTCTGATACAGAAAAAGATTGCATTGTTAGGCAGATTTCACTACAATAATCAAGAAATGTCTTAAATATGTGTTTCTTGTTCTTATTACTGCACTTTTACCCCTAACCCCCAGAGGATTCACAAAGCTTCATAGCATCATCGTACACGAGCGCTGGCTTTTCAGAACATGTTTGGACATTCAGCAGTTTTCATTCTCACAGCTTTGTGCTCCATGAGACTCCAGGCAAGCCCTGCCTATACACTTATTTCTCAGCACTGAGGAAGCAGCTGCTACGGCCATACGAACACTAAGATGATGAGTTGGAATACACACTTTAGTCCTGTCCAGATGTTACTTCCTGCTCCTTTTGACCAGCACCATAGAGCTCTAAGGCCCAGGTAGGCATGGCAAAGATTAACCGCCATCATCATAACTTCTGAGTGTGTATTGGTGGTTAACTGTATCAAAATGTTAAAGCTAAATTAAAGGCAAAGGCAGGAGCAGCCACAAATGAATGTTCATTTATCTCTTATAATTAAGAAATAAAGGCTACGGTATTTCATATTGATCCCAATTATCTTTCAACCTTCAACCAATAGATTGAATCCAATTATTTTTATTATCCTTACACTGTGTTTTAAAGTCAAACTAATTCACAACCTTAACGCTGACTTTTCACATCTTTGCCACCTTCACTCCTAAGTAACGTTATATCTGTTGCGGCGGTTTTCGGCCAACTGCACCAGCTCGTCGACGGTGTGCTCCAGGCTGTAGAAGTGCTTCTTCAGCAGTCGCCGGTTCATCCGTTGGTCTCTGAAACCCATCTCCAAAAGCTGGTCCATCTTGGAAGGGCCTTGTGTGGTGGCTGGCTCGATGCCTCGCTGGAAAAGAGAAGAGAAACGTGGGTGAATTTTTACCAAAGCAGGGTGGTAAGAGGAATATAATCAGGGATGTGTATCTTATGATTATGAGGTTGTTGTGACTAAAACTGCACTTTCTGTGGTTTCACTCATGTGGCTTCAGAAGGACTTCCAGAAATCCCTGGGAAAGCAGCCCTAAGCGCCCTCGTTCTGTCAGTGATCGCTTCCCCTCTCATCCAAGAGATTCTAAAGAATTAAGGGGCTCCACCAAGGCCCAGTACAAAATAAATAATAATTAGTGTGAGCTGTGAATTACGCGAAGCTACTCTAGCGGAGTAAAAGAAGAAAAATCTGGAGTTTAAAATGGATCACTGTTTGAGGATGGATCACTGATTTAATATAGAAATAATCACATGATCCATTATATTGTTGATTATAGCGACTGTAAGAATTAATTAACCCAAAAATAATAAATAACACAAAACTTAGATGCATTTTTAGTGCAGTACCTTATGGGATTCAATCATAGCAAAAAAGAACATACAGAGTATAACAGAGATGTTAAATTTTCTTTCAATCCTCATTAAATCCTTGAAGAGATGATACATTCTGGCATATTTGCTTGTGTGTGAGTGT